TGAAGGAGTAAGAATGATGCCTGTGTGTCAAATATTTGTGATAAAGATGAGAAGGCTGAGGGAATTTATTTTGTGGTTAAGAATAATTCAACAAAAACAAACCCTCGGGAGCATGCTTTCCTCTTGATTTGTAAAAGCATTAGTGCAGAGTTTCTGCGTATCTTCCTTAAATCATAACATTGAGCAAGAGAGGAAGAACTATTTTTAAACCACCGAATAGATAAAAGATAACATAAACCTGTAAAAGATCTTGGCAGTCCACAACTCATTTCCAGCTTTTGGAGGACTTAACTTAGATCATCCCAGAAAGAAAATTGTTTATTCTACTTATTTTATTCATTCAAACATTTCCAGAGAAAATGACTGTATTTCCTCTTTAATTTATTACAAATTTTAGAGTCCTTTGTGACCTTAATGTGTATGTGTACTTGGACATAATTGTATAAAGTCTTTGGTTAATTAATGAATGCAAGTTACCTTTTGTGTCTTTGTTCACTTGCTGAGCAAGAAAAATAGAATGACTTTAGATAGTAAGAAATGCTGAAAAAAAAAGTGTAAGTATTTAAGGACTTGAGTCCAAATGTTATAAATCTACACCCCAAAGGACAACAAACGACTGAGTAGACTATTACATTGATGAAAGCAGACTTTTGTCAGGCTTTGTTAAGGCAAATCTCAATGCAGAAAAAGTTATATTTACCATACCTGGCAGAGAATCACACAGTAAGGGAAAATATAATTCCTGAAACTTGGTATTTTTCATCAGTGTATCAAGTACATAACTACAACATAGGCTTTTGATCTCATTCTTTCTGTTTTTCTTGATACTTGCCCCTTTAATTACATACCCCAAATCCATAATTTTTAAAATATTTGTCTGTGTTTATGTTTTACTTAAAGCTAACTTTTCTTCTTGAGGGGAAAAGTTTTATATATGCTACCTCTTTAGTCCTCAATAACCCTAAATTCTCCATCTGGCTAAGTTAGAATTCAAACCAAACTCTTCTTTAAATTATAGAATATTACTTTTTATAGATATCCCCTTTTAAAAATTATTTTATTTTCCACTGCTTCCCCTGTATCTTCATCTCTCTTCCTTTAATTTCCAAATTCCAGGTGTGATCCATTTGTTCTGTGGCTTCCAGTTCCTTGGCACCTTCTCATACCTGCAGTCTGCCCTCCACCACTCTCTTGCAACTGCCTTCTCTAAGGTTACCAAAGTCCCACTAATTGCCAAAACCCTGAATTTTCTGTTTTCTTTCATGTTTTCACATCATTTGATGTTAGAGGTAGCAGAAGAAGTAACAGAAAAGAGATGTCCTCCGAGGGGCATGCTGGTAGATGTTTAACAATCAGTTTTCAAAAAGGACCAAAAGCCCTAATCTGTCACGTTTTTGCCAATTTCCTTAGTATTAAAAACTCCCAACATGGATGATTTTAATCTTCCAATGTGATGTCACTGAACATGAGATTGGGAGGCTAATGTGGACAGAAGCCTGACTATAGCAAACCACTGAATATCCTTTTGGGGATTCTATGAGTCTTTGACTTTTGCAACATGCAGCAATCTGCTTCATTTTCTATTACTCTGATACCAGCTTCTCTCTATCCTTTTATTGCTTCTATTTCTTACTTGTGGTCCCTAATTGTAGACTTAATTAAGGGTTAAATTTTTCATCCCTTTATTTTCTTCCTTGGTGTTTTCCTCTACTTTCATGCTTTTCCCCATCATTTTAGCATAAGTGATGCTAAATCCTTGCCTGCTCTCCAGAGATCATCTCTCTTCCAATTTCTTATTGGAGATAAAAGATAGCCCCTCTTTTACTTCAAACTCAGTAGAGCTAAAACCAGACCGCTTATTTTTCTTTCACCCCAAAATTACCCACTTTCCTTCATATTCTATTAAAAAGTATTAAATGCAAACAAAATGCCAGACACTTCATAAGGTGTTTTGGACACACATATGGAGATTATTATCCATATTTTATAGATTAAAGAATTCAAAGTTCAGATAATTTGATTAATTTACTCACACTGACCCATCCGATAGACAATGGAATTAGGTGTGAACCCAGGATACTGAAGCCAAAACTCATCTTTCTTTCTGTTACACCATATTGCTTCTCAGTTGATGGAACTATCATTTTTTTCCTTACACCAAATTAGAATATGCAAGTAATTTTTGAGTTTTTTAGTCATTATTAATTGCAAAATCTTGTTTATTCATACATTGAACCAGTGTTTGTGCAAGTATCTCCATCCATGCTATAAAGCTTATGAAAACAAGAGCCATGTTCATCATTTTATTCCTTTTTGTAACAAGATTCCTGATAGTGGTAGCTACTCAATAATTTTGGTTTAATAAGTGAAGTAATTAATGAACAGCAGTGTATTTCAAGTATTTTCATTGTATGGTGTTTCTCTGTCATCTGCATTGAGAGCTACCAAAAATGTTATTTATATATAGCGGATCAAATTTTGCACTAAAGGAATATTCAGGTTTAGTTTGCTGCAAAGGGGAACAAAAATGGAATGCAAAATGTGCTCATATTTTAGTACAAATCATGAAGTTTACCATTGCCTTATTGTTTTTAGCCCAAAGATATGGTACTTATTTCTACATAGCTTATGGTTTAGACACCAGGGGATCTCCAGTGAGTTTAAGGCAATATTCCTCTTTGTATTTCTAACTAATTTAGAGGACTCCTGAGAAGTTTTTTTACACTTTAAGAAGTCCTGTTAGGGTCCAGGACTCAGCCATCTCTCCACATTTCTCTGAATTCCAAGAGCTGGCCATTCTGTTCTGCCATAGGTACAAACCGCCAAACTTGAGGGGATTACATGGCCCTCTGATTAAGTTAGTGGGTAGTTGTAGCACTGGACTTCTTCTGAATCTGTAGTTTCTAATTCCCACATCACCTTGGTGTATTTCCTGCTTCTGACAGCACCAAGGGGCTGCTTTGTGATTGAGTATGCCTCAGGCCTTTTCTGTACATAGCAATCTACTGTGCTGCAGCAAGATATATGATGCAGAGTTTTTCTACCCAGGATAGCTAGTAAAGATATGTGCTTTGAATCTGCAACATAGTGCACAACCTGAAAGTTACTGATTTGCGATTCTTAAGAGATGTCTGTTTCCTGTGATACTGTGCCATTATCTTGGTACTAAAATGCTCTCAGTTGCTGACAATCATAAAATATCCTCAAATACATCTTTTTATCAGACTCATTCACTAAGGGGGCTTAGAATAAAGTCTTAGAAGCCTTTCGCTGTAAACATCATTATTTTAATCAATATACAACAAGTTGGAAAATAATGTACCAGCTAGTTGAGCATCAGGGAATTTTAAATGAATGCAACATAGAATACAGGTCTAAAAGCTTTTACATAGGACTAGGATATGCCCACTACAGAATAATCTACTTGTGTCATGCTTCTTTGCATCCGAGCAGTGACAGGCAAGATTAAGTTTGGCAAAAAGGCTCTATTAATATGCCTCAATTCATCTTCCATTGCTGAGCTGTTAGTGAGACCAGCACTTTGGGAGGTTTGGTTTAAATGTGAGTATTCAGAAAAATAGATGAGTGAACACCTCATTCACAGTTTATTAGTGATGGAAGATACTGTTCTTTATAAATCAGTTTGGTGAGGATAAAGTTTATACACAGAAATCTGGGATGATTTCTGTTGCTGCATCATGACCACCTCTATAGGTTTAACTTTGATCATTATCTCCATTTAATACCTTGAAGAATTGAGCTTGGTCAAGAGAGGTAGAAATATGGGTGGTCATGGCTGCTCAGGAATGCCAATTTGGATAAAATATCAAATTATCCTTTGAGCCTGATGCCTAGCCTCTTACGTAGATTGAATTGAAACATAATGAAACTCCTTATTTAGGCCTTTCATTAACTTCAGTTGTAAAATATATGGGGATATAAGCAGAGGGTGAAAATTACATCTCAAGCCCTACTTCATGTGATATTAGTATTAGTGCAGGCTCTATTTTAAGAGCGCAACTCTGCATAATATGTAGCTCACAGTCTGTGTTCCTGCACTTTGGAAATGATAAAAATCACAAATGAATTAGTGAAACCAAGTAAGTAGCAAGTAACAAAGTTTATATTCCAGATATTCCATTTACAAGTGCAGGCTTCATTTTGTTGTTTCCCTAGAGAAAATTTCATTTTAACCTGGGTGCGTGTCAATGTGTGTGTGTGTTTCTACAATTTGTCTTATTTGGTTGGCCTTTGTCTCTATTCTCTCTGAGCCTGGTTACCTTGGTTACCATTACATACACGCTTGTATGTAAAGTTCCTCTTTGACGTACAGTATTTCTTTGGAAACAATGAGGTCCTTGGTATGGGTAGCTGCTTAGGGAAAACATAATGAAATACTGCATAGTGATCTTTCTTTTTGGTCATAAAATCTAATATTAAATTATTTTTTAATTAGAGAACTATATTTTTGCTTTCCTTTTGACTTGATCATAAAGCTGCATTTTTCCTTGTTTATAGACTTGCTCAAATAAAATGACTTAGAGCATTAGATATACTGTATAGCTCTCTCTTGTGATATGTAGTGTCATAAAGATCACCTCAGATGCATATAACAATAAAAGAGTATTACTTTAACTTTAAAGGTCTCTCAGAGAGTGAAAAGTTTATCTCAGTAACATCTGTCACAATCATAAAATTGCCCGAGGAATTTTATATATTCATATGAAGACAACGAGCAATGTTTAGATGATTTATCAAGGGAAAAAAAGGCCCTACTTGTGGTTATTAGTTTTAAAATCTTGAGATTTAGAAACACAGGGATATAAGAGAGAAGTGGTAGTTATTAAAACATGTTTTTTGTGATATTAAATAAGTGCATGTGTAATTGATATTCTGTTTTCTTTTTGTCTTAAGAAGCTTTTAAACCTTTTTAAAAAACATCTCTTTTCCTCTTTGTTTTATTTCCACACTACTCCAGTCTAATTTTTTTTTCTTTCTAGATGATGTGGAAACCTGCTTATGATTTTCTCTATACTTGGAGTGCTCACTATGGAAACAGCTACAGAGATGTATTACAAGACCTTCAATCAGCTTTGGACAGAATGAAAAACCCTGTGACCAAACAATGGCGAGACCTAACTGGAGCTTTAATCCTAGTAAATTCTTTAGAGGTTTTGAGAGCAACTGCATTCTCGACTTCTGAGGAAGTATAGAAGTGAAGGGTATGTTTTTTGGAGGAGGAAGTAGGGGGAGAATGGGGTGTGTGTGTGTGTTTGTGTGTGTGTGTGTGTGTATGTATAAGAGAAAGAATCTCATAGAACTATTACTAATTTTTGCTTGGAAAAGTATGCTTTTCTGGTGAAAGCACAGCCTAACAAAGTCCAAGGATGGGTTTTATAATCTAATATGTATTTTTGTGTATGTTTCAAATGCAAACATTAAGCTGCTTTGTTATTGAGAAAGGAAAGAAAAACCTTCCCTCCCTTTCAAAACTGCTTTAAATTTCTTGTAGTTAAAGCAAATGACTGCTAACATCACACAGATACCCAGATAAACTAGAGTTTCTCAATATTAACACTGGAATTTTACCAGGAGACAGTAGGGAGAGAGGAGAAGCAAACACATACTCTGTGGCCAGGCACAGGCCTGAAGGCTTTCTATACCTGATCCTTTTTATTTCTCAGTGGTATATGCTAGCATTATTCCCATTTTTCATGTGAAGAAACTAAGGACTAGAGAGGATGCTCAGGCCTATGCAGACAGTGTGAAAGAGGTTTTCTGTGTGCAAAACCTGGTTCTATTTTTTAAAAAAACATAGCACATACGAATATAGTAAAAAAAATTTAAATGCGTATTAAAATTTATAGGAAAATGGTAGCTATTTCATTTTAATTAAAGCTTAACTGCCTTTGAAAGACTGCCAGAAAGAAATATGACTTATCAGAAATCTGTTGTCTGCATCCATAGACTGGAGTTTTCACCACCTTCCTCCAGCATCTTGGGACCCAGTTAATCCTGCCTAACTTAGACGTTTTCTTCAGGATCATAGTTCTTTAGTTTGCCAAGATTTTTAATAACAAAAGTATTTTTTAGAAAACCTGTTTCATTACTGTTAAGTACAGCAGTCTTAACCACCCAACTGATGTTGGTGTGTGCATGTTCATGTGCTCATGTAAAGACATGTGTCTGTGTTTGTGTGTGTGCACCAGAGAGTTTTATAAAGCTCTCGGGAAACAAAGATTATATAGGAATCTAGGTCGGTATAAAGGCTACTGCTAGAGAGTTCATAAAGAGATGGTCTGTGCTGACTCATATGTTCAGTCCTCTGGCACCTACAGTGTTTATGTGTTTCAGACAGTCATTCATTTATTGTCGTTCAATTGACAGGTAGAGTGTGTGTACCTACTCTGTGGCAGACACCTAGATGCTCGAGGTTAATAATGGGGAGAAAACAACATGATCCTTGACTTCAGTACTGCTGAAGTGATAGAGATAACAATAAAAAAATTATACAGTTAAATCTAAAGTGGCATCTGCAACACCAGCTGCAGTGGAAAGGCTGGGATACCAAGAGATAGAGATATAGGGGGGAGGAAGGGGACATCATATGGATCGGGGGATCAGGTAAGTTTTCCCTGGGAAAGAAATGATGAGCCTAGAAGAGGATCAGATATTGCTTCTAGTCTGGGAGGATGGAAGAGACAGTTCCTCAATGCACTGAAGCCCTCAGGCAGGAGTGGAGCTCAGGAGCTGTGGGGAGCCAGGGAGAAGGGCCTGAAAGGATGAAGGAGTGAAGGAAGGAAAGACACGCCCTCAAAGGTAATGTGGGTGAGCTGAATAAGGATTTTATTTAGGCATCCTGAATAAAACATGTCCATTTGGCTAAAAAGTAAAAGCAGAATCTTTTTAGAGCTTTTAATACACCTACTCTGGGGTATTTGGTATGCTGGCAAAGGTAATTTGAATTAGGGTTTGAGATTTTTAAGGCTTTTAATATTTATATTTGATGATACGAGAACATAGCTGGCCCAAGGAGTTATGTACACGCATTCAAGGACAGAATTTATTTTAATTGAAAATAAATACAGGGAGAAGAAAAAAAACGATTTGTAAGTTCAGAATACAGTCATTTTTAGTGGTGATTTTGCTTTTTTTAGAAAATTCTTGGAATCTTATTAGCATGTCAGCAAACCAGAGAATTTCGGGAAGGGATAATAAGGAATTAATAACTGGGTTTTTCCAGGCTCTAAGATCTGAGACGACAGAGATTTTGTTAGCTGATTAGAGTAGTAAGATTAAATAAATCACTTCGGGTTTATCACATCATGTGTTGTGATTGTGGTTGGGAAGTTTAAGAAGAGTTCAAAAAATGAACAGGATGATCTCTATAATTTAAGGATGAAGCAATGATTTCAATATTAATTCACACAAAGATATTTTATAATCTTGTAACAAATGCTTTCAGAAGAACTTTAAACCCATGTCCAAACATTCTGTTCTTACAAATATATTCTAATATTTTTATAAATCATTTTTACTTTTCTGAATTTTATGTTTTTCTTCCTATAATGGATTTCATAATCAGAAAAGATTAAACAGTAGTCACGAATTGCCTTTACATTTGGCAGCAAATCAAGGGAATTAATAAGGCACTTAAATCCCATCCTTGACATCATTAAAAGCATCAGAAGCCATTAATCTCAAACGTCTTTAAACATTTCAAAACTGGAAAAAGCATAGACAGTTCTTTCAGTTCCTCAGGCTTTTCCCCTAAAGATGTATTAGGATGAGATTTTTGTTCAGTGCTCAGCTTGCATTGTAACAATTTTCTATGTAAGCCTTAGATCCTCTACTTCCTCCTGTTAAATCCTTAATATGAAGGCCAATTAAGGCCATGCAAGCAATAGTGAGTCATTAATTGTTCATACTAATCATGAATGCAGTGCACTTTCATGTCCTGTAATGTAGAAAGTACCAAAGGAAGTTTTGAACTTAGGGATGACTTGGTTTCTGAAAGGAGCAGAGTGCACTGCAATAATGGATAGTGTTGGTCTAAGAATTGTTGCTCCTACTAAACAACTTTGAGTATATGATATGAAAATACAATAAAAAAATTCAAAATCATACAATGCTGTACATAATTGGAAGTTTCAAACTTTAATTTTCATACTGTGCTACAGTAAATAATATTTTCTGTAAATTTTAATGTATAAGGAATACTTGAGACAATATACAGGAAAGGTAGAATAATAAAAATTATTTTTCAAGGCTTTTGTAATTGAAGTAGATTTTTTTTTCTTTTTATATATAAACATTCTTCTTCCTCCATCTTCTGAGTAAGGTTTCTGTTGTGTGCTGCTGTATGACTTAGTAAGTCATTTTCCAAAGATCACATGTTCCTGTTATGCTAGATGGGGTTAACCCAAAGACATTCCTCAGAATAATAATTGTTTCAAGTTAGTTTCTTGCATGCATACTTACTAGCCCACAACACAAAATAAAAAGTGACTATGTATACACAGGAAACTTGAATTTGTACATATATAGAATCTGATGTGTATCTAATATTCAGCCGTCAAGATTTCACTAAAACTTGTAGAAATTTTTGGCATTTGCAAATATATTTTGCATTGATTTTATGTTTATTTGGATCTAGTCTCATGTAGCTTTGCCGTTCTGAATAATAGTGTCAGTTTATACATAAGGGATGGGAATGGAGAGATCAGCCCTGGGTAGTAATTAGTAATGCCAAAGGAGAATATTCCAGTGTAAACACTGCTATTGTACTAGTGACTACAGCATGAATGGCATCTTCTGCAACATACCAGTCCTGGAACTGAGAGCCGTGGCATCTAAGCTTTGCCTGTTACTTCCTAAGAGATTTTTGATCTGTCACTCAGCCTCCCTGGGCTTCAGTTTTCTTGTCCGTAAAATGAAGGGCTTGAACTGGGTAACCTCTAAATTTCTATTAGGCTTAAATGTCTACGAATGTATAATGAGTAGGATATTTTATGTTTTTTGCATATTAGTTTTGCTATGAGGAAAGAGAATGTGAACTAAGACTAAAAGTTTGGACTACTACTTTAAATGATCTACATCATCTACATTAAAATAACGTTCCCTGTGTGTGAGGCATAGCACACATAGCACGCACACGTAAGCACACTAAGCACTTTACAGATATTATCTCATTTATTACTTACATAACCTAATGAAACTAGTTCACTACGTGTACTATTTTGAATAGCTAAAAACCATCATCAACTATTCAAAACAAACTGCGTGTGAGGACTGAGTCACAAGGTCAGCAGTGGCTTTTCTGGGAGCTACCGAGACACTCTTTCACACCTGCTCTAGTCTCACTACAGAGATTCTGTAACTGTAACAGCAGTAGAATCAGCTAGAGGGTCTGTCAGAACAGAGACTTCCAGGCCCCACCCCAGAATTCTGATTTGGCAGGTCTAGGGTGGTGCCTGAGAATTCGCATTTCTGATAAGTTCCCAGGTGATGTAGATGCTGCAGGTTCAGGGATTCTGCATTTCACTTCCTTCATCTCTACAGGGATAAAGGGATTTCTATTAAACCAGAAAAACTTAACTTCTAAATAGACAAAATTTTATGTCATGTCATCAGGGAAATCACTTTTAAATTGTTAAAAAAAAACAAACAAACCCTGAATCAGACAATATAATATCTCCATTTATATATAAAGTGAACTTTTTTCATAATGAATTCATAAAAGCCTGAAAAATAATTATTTTGATTGTAAAACTAATTAAGATCTCTGCATCTCATCTAAAATGTAAACATATTTGAATAAAAATAGGTAATAATTTGAGACATTTATTCAGTGTGTTAAGATGATTTTGCAAAATATATGCAATGATGCACTTGTTTCTATAAAATATCTTTGGAGAAAGCTGCTTTTTACTGGTCCATCACTTGTTCAACGTCTTGCTGAATTAATTTTTCCCCATTGAAAAAAAAATTCTATCTAATGTGATCAATACACTATCCACATGTCTCACTTTCTTTGTAGAATTACAAGGTGATCACAGGTGATCATAGGTGATAAATAAGGTAGCCAGATGATCTCTTCCCAATGAGGAGTTACTCATTTAAAGGAATGGTGACTTTGACAAGAGCTGATGAGCTGAACAAGCTCGTTTTGACATTGATGTATCATATCTCATGCTGTGCCATAATCTCCTTTTTAATTGTTCTTCTGTGAGTGACTAGGAGGATGTATGACTTCCTTTTTTCTGTTCTTAGAGACATTTGAGACTGTCCTTTTGTGCCTGGCAGCAGATTTTAAATGTTCCTAATATAAGTTGACACTTAAACCCTTGGAATGTACTGAGACACTTAACAAATTACATAAATATGATTAGTAGTTGAAAATTAAACTTGGTCATGATGAAATTACTGGTTTTACTTAAACTGTTTCTACCAAGCTCAGCCTTTTAAGCAGAATTTAGGATTGCCTAATTTGGTATAATGTTGACCTTACACTTACTAGGTTAAATGACATATAAAATTAACTATTACACTCCTTAGTGTAGTAGAAAAATCCATTTTATGGGGCAAAAATACACTCTTTTACTCAAGAAAATATATACTCATTGTTCATCCAGTCCCCTTACATCATGGTGGAAAGCAAAGAAAATATGAAAGGAAGATTGGAAGAAGTTTGATTATGGTCTAATGAAAGAAAGAAGACTGTTCAGGGACAGTGGAAACTTTATCTTTGTGCTGGTCTTTTTAAAAATATAAAGTATCTTTCATTCTTTCTCCTTATCTGATCAATAATAAGATGCAAATTAACTTTTGCTTGGTTTTCTCCAGGATGGATTTAATGCTACCTAAGACTCCTCCTTAAAACTGTTAAGAAACTTCAGCTAGAGCAAACACAGTGGCCGTATGTTAAGATTGTCATTTAGCAGTCTTTAGGGAGCTGGTGTCAGAAAACCTATTTCAAACTGGCTTAAGTACAAAGAATTTATTGTCTCTCACAACTGAAAACTCCAGGGGTAGTTTTAGGCATTCTGGAATTCAGAGCTTGAAAGTGTGATCAAATTGCTTGTTTGTTTTTCACCCTTCTGACTTTGGTTATATTGGTTTCATCCTTGGGCTCCATAAAGCAGTCCAACAGCTCTGTGCCCTCCCTTTGTGGGGCAAGAGGGCTGCAGCAGCTCTAGACTCACATTTCCTAGTGTTTCAGTTTCAAGCTGTGGAGGCTTTGAGTGTGTCAACTTGGCAAAACTAAACTTTGTTTCCAGAGTTCTCATCACTGAGTATTTCTGGTTAGGGTTAGCTACAGGAGATTTGGAAGGTCGCTGTGGAGCAGTAGCCATTGTGACTCTTGAAAGACAGATACAGATTAGGCCCCACCTCAGCCCCCAACTCAGCTTGTTGGTGGTGGGGAGGGGCAGCTGCCTGGCCTGCAGCTCCAGTTTCCCTGGGTTCCCTTCCTTCTCCTTCTCCAAATCCCTGCCAGGTGTGAGTGTGAGTCTGCAGCAGGAGCATCACTTGACCTGCAGGTTATCCACAGCAGCGAGGTAGCAGCCTTGGAATCAAGGAGATACCAACAATGGTGCTAGTTACTGACAAACAGAGATTCGAGTTGTCCCTGCTCTTCCTCAGTCAGATGTTCATCTTTTTCCCTCAGCCTGACCTATAGCTAGGCTCAGCACCAGAGACAGAAGAAAGTGCCAGACCAAGAATTTGATCAGCTCTTACAAACATATCAGGTCAAATTAGTGCAATAAAACCTTATTGTATGTCATTGCTGATGGTTCTACTTTTCTGAACAAACCCTCATTGATACTTAGGGCAATAGAGTATTTCCCGATAACCCCAGAGGAGTTCCTCTGGTTGGACCAATTTAGGTTTTGTGCTTATCCATCAGCCAATCACTAAGGGTTGTAACCAGCCGTCCTTTGACTGGTCATACCTGGGTTATGTGGTCCTTCCTTGATACCCTATTTAGACTACTGGGTGTGTTTGGGAGTCATTGGTCACCAGGTGAAACTGAGATCTGTTCCTAGAATTGGGAGGAGGTAGATGTTGGGAAGTTCAACAGCAGTTTTCCACTAAAAATGTGATGTGAGATAACTTCAGCACTATTTCCTGTTTGGGGAAACCTTTTTTCCTCAAGTGGAATTTCCTCAAGCTAGTCATCTGAGTCCTTCTCAGGAAACTGGGCAATGGGCCTACTTCTATAAACTTCTGCACTAAATCAAACGGTAAGTAAATGAAACCTCTCCAACAAACTGCCTTCCACATACAACTTTACAACTTTATAAATTGCTGATGACATGACAGAACCATCTAAAACCCCATCAAAACTATGGGTTCACTTGACCTAGGAGGTCCAGGGGCAGATCTCCTGGTACTCCTAACTTTTCATTCTCAAGCAGGACCCACAGCCTAGTCAATGTACCTCACTTGCTGCAAGGAAGAAGTTGACTGGGAGAGAGGGAGAGGGGAGGAGTCCCCAGAACGACTGAGTGAGAAAATTGTAGTTAAGACCAAGTGGCAGGCATCACATGCCCTTGAAAAAGAGAATGGCAAAATTCTTTGAACATTCTCTGAATCAAATTTTGAAAGCAATCCAAGGTCAGGGATATTTCTATCTTTCTCAGTCGTCTAACTTTTCACTGGAGACCTTTATCTCCACTTTTGAATGAGTAATAATGTCTAAACGCTTCCCAAGGGGAAAATGGAACAGGAATGTGAACAAAGTAAATTAGATGGCTCTAAGACATCAGTGAAAAATAGGACAAAATGATATAAAAAGAATGCACTGACAAAGGCGGTGTGTTTCCTTGTTTTATATATAAAACTGCTTTATGAAGATGTAATTCATATATTATACAATTCATCCTGTCCATTTTTAAGAACCTGTAAACATTTTTCTTTCTTAATACATAGTTCCTGTTTAATATGTGTTCAATTATATTCATGATTTAGTCTACATGGGGAAATGCTCTTCAGGAGGGAATATCACATTGTTGTGTTTTTTCAGGGTGAAGTGGAATGCTGTGGGTTGTGGTGAAATCAGAGATTAGTAATCAAGGTTATTCCTGAAAAGATAAGGAGAGAGCGCTTGATGTTATATTCCTAAAGCTATTTTCAAGAGGTTGCACTGATAGGTTGGAAGAAAAAAAATCTCAAGTCCTCCTTTTATACTCTTAGAGAACCTTTCTGTTTATTTCCATTTTGCTTGCTGAGAAGATTACTATTTGCCTAGGGATAAGAGTCCAAGTTCTGACGTGAGAGCCACAAACCCGTGCAAGTAATTAATCCACACGCCTGGGTTCTTGCCTTGAGCAAGGTTCTGAATCTATCTTTAATGAGAGCTCATTTTGACCACTTAGTATATTCTGTGTTTATGTACTAGAAAATTTTGTTAGTTTGCTAGGGCCACCATAACAAAATACCAGAGTGGGTGGCTTAAACAACAAAAATTTATATTCTCCCAATTCTGGAGACTAGAAGTCGAAGACCAAAATTTTGGCAGGGCTGGCTTTTTTCTGAGGGCTGTGAGGAAAGGGTCTGTTCTAGACCTGCCTCCCAACTTGTGGATGGTTATCTTGCCCTCTGTCTTCTCATGGTTTTACCTCAGTGCATGCATCTGTGTCCTAATCTCTTCATTTACAGACACTAGTCATATTGGATTAGGGCCAACACAAGTGACTTCATTTTGACGTAATTACCTTTTGAAAGACCCTATCACCAAATCTAACTACATTCTTAAGCACTGAGTGTTAGGACTTCAGCATATGAATTTTGGGGGACACAACCCAGCCCATGAAAATTATTTGGTCATTTTTTAAAAAAATTTACTGAAATCAACTATTTTGATTGAGTGCATTTTAAACAATACTGCAATGAATCTTTTAAAGTTTTTGCTTTCTCGCTTCTCTATCGCAGGCAAATCGTAGATGTCTAAGAAATGATAGATATTCAGAGTCACAGAATGAGCAGAATTATAGTGAGATGGCAGACCTAGACAGCTGAAACCTTTTCACTATATTGTTCTTTTACTTCAGGCAAGATATACTGTCAAATTCTGCTTATTAGAACTAATGGAAAATATTGGTATAGATAAACATACTCATAGATGATTTCCCTTGGGTTTTCTTTGTTACTATAGGATCTGAGTGCTGCAGATAAAGAATGCTCTTTCTATAGGTGGGGAATGTGAAGACAGTTTAAGAACAGAGTGTTGTGGGTGGGATCATGCCATGAGTCTGGACTGCTTTTTTGTTTGGTTGGTTTGTTTGTTTGTTTTTTGGTGAATCCTGAGGTGCCTAGGAAGGCAAATATCTTTTATTGAGCAAGATAAAATAATGGAAGGCT